TCTTCTGAGGGCTACAAAGCAAGACTCTGTCTCAAAAAAAAAAAGTCTATTAAAAAAGTTTTATATATAAAGTTTTTTTTTTTTTTTTTTAAACAAGAGTCTCACTATGTGGCCCTCATTAGAGTATCATGGCGTCACAGCTCACAGCAATCTCCAGCTCTTGGGTTTAAGCGATTCTCTTGCCTCAGCCTCCCAAGTAGCTGGGACTACAGGTACCCGCCACAAGGCCTGGCTAATTTCTGGTTGTAGCTGTCATTGTTGTTTGGCAGGCCCCGGGCTGGGTCCAAACCCATCACGTTAGGTGTATGTGGCTGGCGCCTTAGCCACTTGAGCCACAGGCTCAGAGCCGATAACATCATCTTGCCTCTCCAAAAGATCTTGGCAAACTTCGATTCCCTTTTCCTTTTGTTCATCAGTGAGCTCCATTTCATTACACGTATTTTATTCTAATTAGGTTTGGCAAATTACAACTAACATAACAAAAGCCATTCCACTCTACTGTCAGGTACCACGATTTAAGTAATTATCAAATTAAATCACTGCTTTAAAATACAAAATGCCTAGCTGCCTTTTTTTTTTTGAAATTAAAAAATACACAAGTCCTGAGCTGTGAAAACTGTAAACTAAGCGCAAAGCAAACGCGCGTTTTAAGAAGCACACACTTAACATTAATTAGCTACTCTTAGCAAATCCCTGACATAGTAATGGAATTCTATTTAATTCAACTGGTGTAGGGAGGGACTAACACTTCCGCTTCAGCCTCTCTGGACGTTTTTACTTATCACAGAGCCGTTTGTTACTGATTCCCCAAGGGTAGGGTGTTGAGCTGCGTGAGGAATACCAAATTGAAAAGGCCACAGTTTCTGGGAACCGGCAAGGAAGGGCCAAGAGGATCCCTAGGTTAGGACAGGAATGGAGGAGGACTGCTTCAGCTGAAGAACCAAGTACGACCCCCTCTTTGTGTTTATACAAACTAAGAGAGAACTATGCTGCCCCACAGACTGACAAACTCTCCCGAAGAGAGGAGGGCGGGTGGCTGCAGGTGGCAGGCGGCCTCCGCTCCGCGCCTTTGTTGACTGTAGCCGCCCCCTACCTTCTCTGCGCCTGTAGCAGGCATTCCTGCACACGGCGACAGGAGCATCAGGGCCGAGGGCCGCCAAGGCGGCTAAAGATCTAAGGGGGGGATTTCTGCCTGCCCAGGAGGCTCGCGGGGCTGGGCCGGGCCGGGCGCGGACGGGAACTGTGGGAGCGCGCGGGGCTGTGAGCGCGTCGCAGCCTCACCTTGGACGCCATTTTCTTGAGCTGGCTCTCCGACACCGCCATGACGGCCGCCTCGAGACTCTCGTCCCTGCAGGCAGAGGGTCAGCCGCTTCAGGGCTGCCCCAGGCCGCCCCACACAAGAACACACCGAGTGACCAGCCCCCCACCCCCCCGCCTACATACAACAGGAAATGGGCTTTACTACAGCACTTCCGCTTCCCTTACGTCACTTCCGAGGCCGCCGTACTGCCGAGAAGGGTGCACTCGGTGTGGGACTGAGGCCTGGCGTGGGGCCACTTTGCTACCAACACGTCCCCAGTGTGCCAGACCCCGCAGCCCGAGTCGAGTCCCCAAAATGAGGGCAAGCCTGTTCCGAGGGCAGAAACGCTGGGCCTGGATAATTGATGGACGTTTCCTAGACAAAGTAGCCCATAGACCTAAGGAAGCAGGTTCAGGGAGGGGAGGATGCACGAAGGGCTTGCTTAAATGACTGATTCATAAAGTGGGAGGGCACTGAAATGGCTGAGAACCGATCTGCCACTGATTTGCCGTTGTGATAATACGAAGCAAGTGCACTTCTAGCTCGGGGTTAAGTTCTTTTCAACTCAAAGATGGGAGGCTTGCCCGGGGTTCTCTGATCCTCAGGTGTAGGTGTGTGTTTGGGTGGTAGTGTTAAAGCTTAAAAGTCCTTCGTGGTATGTTCACGAGGGCAAATTGTACAGCCTTTGTTTCTCAGGAAGCCAGACAGTAATTTCTTCTCTAGCACATCTTTCCCTAAGTCAGAATTTCCCTGTGCTCTGAAATAAAGGACAATACAGGCTGCATTCTATTTGTGTTGTGTACTAGCCTGTCAACTGCCAAAGTCCTAGTCCTTTGGGACAGGCTTATCTTCAGATCTTTATTGCCTTGTACAATGGAAGCGTAGGTGGGTACTCGATCACTTTCTTCTTGGTGACTTACATTAGCCTTCATCATTCTACATCACTGCCAGTTTTATATAGGCACAGTGTCATTCAAGGTATGGTAAGGTTTGGGTTTGATGATGTGAAGTATTGGTAGTTTGGATGGTTTTAGCAGAATACTAATAAGAACAAGGTTGTGTATTGCTTCCGATCTAAGTTGGTATCTAAGTGAAGGTCATATACACAGAGGGCCTAATTAAGTGCATATGGAAGTCTCAGTATCTGTGAATATGTGGAAACATCATTATAAATTATTGCCAATACACACACCAATAAAGAGTATCCCAATAGGAATCTTTTTTTGGAGGGGGCGGATACCTTTATATTAGTTGAGAATATAGGTCCAGTCAAACCAAAGATCATTCAATCCTTCCACTGCACCTTCTGTTTTATGCCACTTAAAGGCAATGTAGCTTTCAAACTGTTCTTAAAGCCAAAACTTATTCAGGAGTACCTTTAATTGGGAGACTCTGCTTTTGTGAATTGAAGGAGGGCCAGGTAACATTGTTTAAAAAAAAATAAATTTCAAAAGTTGAAAACAACTGATAAAACCCAGTCTCTTTGCACTTAAGCTATTTAAAATGAAATAGCTAAATATCCTGGGTATTGTATGAATTTATATCAAAAAATCTTCCTCCTTAATCTAAATAAATTTCCCTCCACTTAATAAATCAAGCATCAACTGGTGATTTTAAAAACCAAAGTTTGTTTTATTTTTCTTTATATTTAAGGAAAACAATGTAAATTGGAAAATAAAAATTTAACTTCTGCTATAATATCAAGAATGCATTTTAACCCAATCCCCACTAAAAAATTATAACAAGAAAAGGCACTGCACAATGTTTAAAAAATGAAAATGTGAAATTTAATAGAAGCATTGTGAATGTCAAATTGTCACCAAATCCTGAGGTGGTGCTTCTTAACTTATACATGAGACTTACAACATGATTGCTATCATAATACTTAACACTCAAGGAAAATATCTGATATAGAGAATTTTATATTGTGGCCTTCTAAAGGGCAGGATAATTATTCATCTTTGAAAACTCAGATACTAAAACACAGTATGGAATAACAGTAGGTGCCCAATAAGTGTTTGTTATATTGACACATTCCTTTTATAATTAATGTAGTGAATTATTTGTAATTCTTTTTCTTTTTTCTTTAGATAGAGTCTCTCTCAGTTGCTGTAGGGTTGAGTGCTATGATGTTAAAGAGCTCACAGCATGTCAAACTTTTGGGCTTAAGTGATCCAAGAGCACCAAGAGTTTCAGGTTGCTGTGAGCTATATGACACCACACATTCTACCAAGGGCGTCAGAGTGAGACTCTGTAACAACAACAAAAAAAGAACCTTGGACTTCTTCACAGTATTTATTACACTTGGAATGGTAAATTTATTTGTGAGATTTGATTCCTATTATCTCCCATACCATATTGTAAGGACAAAGAGGGCTTGTATTCTACACTTACACTTGTTCACCATTAATGCATGGCGTACAGTAAGCTCCTAACAAATACTAGCTGAATGACTAAATGAACACCTATCTCAGTGCATATCCCCTCTGCAATTTGCTGAGGACAAGTCTTGGAATCCAGAGAATCAATCTTTCTAAAAAACTATGTTTAAAAAAAAAAGCCTCTACATGAGAATGGAAGTAATTCTTTCATAACATATAGGACCCCAACTTTAGGGTCTTGTGATAACTATTTTGACTGTTAAGCCTTTATCCCCTTTTAGTGCCTAGAAAAACTAGAAGTTGTAAGGATAAGTGCACCTTAACAGCCATAGGTTCTTGGGCACTAAATCTCCTTTTATAAAATAATGATGATAATATAAAATGATAATGATAATACTCCTTACCTCCGTAGGTTATTGTGAGGATTCAATAAAATAATAAAGTGCTCTTCACACTGCCTCGTGTATAATAAGTATTGATGTTAGCTGTTACTGTTAGCTTATTACTGCTATGTGACACAAACTATCTTTCATATATTAAAATATTGCTCTTGACCCATCACCAAAGTGTATGCACTCTGAATTTCTTTTTTTTTTTTGCGCTCTGAATTTCTTTAGGAAAGGTAAAAGGATTTGCTCAGAACCATCACTTCATCCGACCTCTTCCCCTTGAGACCAATGGTTTTCACAAAAGCCTCATATTTGGCTTTAATGTAAACTGCCTGGCTTTCATTCATACTCTGATTTCACTAAAAATAAACATTTCTCTATGGTTCTACTAATAGCATAGTAAGTTTATAAGATGTTACAGATTCTTTTATAGCCTAGGGAAAGATTACAGAAAATTTCAGAGAAGTCCCACTGGAAATGAAAGTATACTTTTTCTACATATATTTTAAAAAGTCTTTTTACTATTTTAAAGTGTAGGTCAAATTCTCCATTTTGGGTAATGAATTTGAAGAAAGAAAATGCTTTACTATTATTACCAAATAAATTTTTCAAAAGAAACACTAATACTTCAAAAGCTTAGATCTCTGAGTGTACACCTACCACAGATTTTGTAAATCCATACTGGGCCTTCAGATTATCATGTTTATTGTAAGAGTCAAAGAGTACCTTTTTAAAAAAGATGTATTACTTTCAAAATATTCCCGAAGTGCTGAATATGCTTTTAGGTTAGGATACACAGAGGTTTTTGTTTTTAAGAGACAGAGTCTCACACTATTGTACCCAGGCTGGAGTGTAGTGACATCATCATAGCTCACTGTAACCACTCTTGGGCTCAAGACATCCTCCCATCTCAGCCTCCTGAGTACCTGGGAATACAGGCACTTGCCTGGCTAATTAGGATATACAATTTAAAATGATGCACAATGCAGATTAATGTTTACCCTGCTGCGGGTTTAAAGAATAGTAAGTATAGCTATCTCAAGAACCCCAAAGAAAGTTAGATTTTTTTCTCCTCATTTTACCATTAAGGATTTAGATCACCAAGCTAGCCAAGAAACCATCTAATTTGTAAGTATAATAAGATATAAAATTTCTCAAGCCTATATATGTTGACAAAATTAAATATCTTTCCTTTCAGGCAACTGCACTTAAGAGTCAAAGTTTTAACTGTTGTTGAAGACCATGGATTGAGGATGCACTGTTTTGGAGTTTCTCAGTCACTGTATCTTCTTTCACTGTGGTTTTGATGACTTCAGATACCCCATTGGTTCCAAGGATGCAAGGCAAACTTAGGAACACTTCACTATTTATACCGTAATATCCCTGAAATGAGAAAAATAGGGATTATAATAGAGCTAAATCACTGTAAAGAAGTTAATATCACAAAAATGTATACTTTATTTTCTAGTTATAGTACAAAGTGATACAAGTTGAACTTTAGAAAATATTTGTAATTTTTTGTAAACTCAAGTTATTGTTTCAGAAAATGAGAGATGAGAGGAACTTACTCAAATATACTCTCTCTGTGGGGAGGTAAGATAGACCTTTGCAATGAGAGTAGCAGCTTGGGAGCTAAGAATAAAAGATGTCAGAGTGGATTTCCTAAGGAGAGGTACAGTATAGTCTCTGGGCATAAATACAGTAGTCTCTGTTTCTTAAATTAATGCATAATAGCTATACATTTTTCTGGGGTACGTGTGATATTTTGATACATGCATACAAGATGTAATAATCAGATCAGTGTAACTGGGTTACCAGCACCTCAAAATGCCATCCCTTTGTGCTGAGGACATTCCAGATTGTCTCTTCTAGCTATTCTGAAATATATAACTTACTGATAACTACAGTCACCCTGTGTTATTGGACACTAGAAATTATTCCTTCTATTTAACTATGTTTTTGTACCCATTAACCAACTTCTCTCTTCATACTCCCTGCCCCCTTCCCAGCCTCTGGTAACCACCACTCTACTCTCTACCTCCATGAGATCCACTTGTTTTTTTCTTTTTGTTTTAAGCTCCCACATATGACTGACAACATGCAATATTTGTCTCTTTGGCACATCAGTCTAAGGTGACTTGGCTGGCTGAGGTGATAAATGAAAATCAGAAGAAGTTTATGGCTATATAAACATTATTTGGAGATTCCCAAAAATTATGACAGTGAGAAGGCAACCTGGTAGAAATCCAGACTTCCCATAGCCAAGCAAGGTAAGGCTTAGACCAGAGTGCCTTCCACATTATTCTAAAAGCTGGTGACATTGAAAACACCTGGGTTAGGGTGTGAACAGTAATTTTGCTGATTTTGTATTAATAACATGTTAAGTTTAAGATATGAAAGAATGGCTCGGCGCC